GCACTTATTGCACCTTCATTATCTTCCCTATAATAATTTACATCACACTTTCTCCTAACTTCTTTTAACTATTTTTTTCTCCTTCCACCCACAATCATCTATATCTTTTCCCTACCCTCTGTACTGAGCTCAAGTACAGTGAACTACAGAGAAGGTAGAAAGTGTACACACAACACATTACCGCACTGGTTATACTGATTTGATTTTCTAATGTCTGTGAGCCAGGGTTCATGTTTATCTGCATTCTGGGCATCGATCATGCTGTTGGCAGTTGCCTAGTCAGAAATAAAACTGCAGGGAGAGAGGTGTTATTGCAGAGCAAAAACCATTCTAGAATATTCACAGTGTATATACTGCTATTTAAAAACATACAATTATTAAGAAAAAATTACAGTATCTGCTAGCATTACCTACATTCACCATTTTAACTGCAGTTACTTAGAGAAAAAAAATAATCAAAAGACAAAGAAAATGCATTTTACAACACACTCAAAAAATAAGAAATCAGCAGCAAACACAACCTGAACAAGTTCACGGGCATTCTCAAAAAAAAAAAAAAAAGAAGGTGAAAGGACTTTGATGAATGAAAAATTGCCAATCATATCAGAATGGATCTGCTATGTAGGAAAAAATACTAGAAAGTCAATGTGGGAATTAGGTCAATTAAGTATTCCGAGCAAGTACAGAGGATTTAGAACAGGGCAGAAGAACAGTAATAAGATTAAGAAGGTCCAAGCAGCGAGGGACTAACTCATGTCAGGCAAAGAAAAGAAATTTGAACTTCATGTGAACTTTATGTGGTAGGAAAGTTAAGTACTAAATGCAAAATTAAACCATTCTATTACCTGTATTTTAAAAGAAAGAAACAAACAAAGCCTTAGTCCAAGTCATGAGCGACTGAAAGCACACTAATAAAATACAGGTCACTATGTCATTAACAAGTGAACTAATACACATAAAGTATATAGATTGGCCTCATGTACAGAAAAATTATTGAACAAGTTGCTGAACACTGTGCTCTCTTCATCTGTCCATCAACATTGATTCACTGACCTACATTAATGGAATGTGAGTTGGCAGAAGGGCAGATGAATGCAAGGAGATGAGGAGACACACTGAGCTTTAATAATGATCAGAAAAATAAACATTCTTTGGAACAAAAACAGTTATATGAAAGAAATACAAATGATACATCCTGAAAAGAACATGAAGATGTTTTTAAAAATAAGTACAAAGTTATGATAACTGAGAATTTATATAATCAATAAGGCTTGAAGAAAACCAGCAAATTTCACAATGCTTGTTCCGCCTTTCCTATATTCATGAAATAAACTACAGATACATTTATAGAAAGATGATTATTATTATTATTATTAAGAAGCTATTCTAGCTTCTGTGGACTTTTATATTATTTCTAATTCTTATAATCCCTTACCACTATAGAAGAAAATTGAAATTCCTTCAGTTTCAACAAAGCCAGAGGCAGTGCTTCATACTGAAGACGGACTTATAAAGTGGACTTAAAGGGGCACAAAGTTAGACTTTTCTCCACATGAAGGCAGTGTGGAGACACTTCATACTGTTTTAGCTTTTATGATTGATTTTTCAGTATAATTTCAGGGTTGGTTTTTTTACAAAGCTGTGATTACTAAATGTTTGACCAAAATTTGCCTATGGCATTGTGAGTTTTGTTTTGTCAAATGATACTGTTTTTAAAAATATACACGTTATGTTTAGACAACAGAAGGAAAAAAGCTCCAATTAATAATTTTATTAACCTCTGAAATTGTAATCAGTCAACTGATAAACTTGTTTACAGAATGGAAAATATTTTAAGCACATAATGCAAAATATCTTACACTAGATAAAAAATCTGATAGATTATATTTCACAATGGAAGAGATGTTTATGCATGGACTATCACTATCACAATTGCTGCAAGTAATTACATAAAATTTTCAATGCAGAAAGTCAAAAGTTTTGTGAGGGACAAAAAACAGACACACACACACAAAACAAAAAAAATCAAACAAAAAACAAACAAACAAACAAAAAACAACACCAAAAAAAACCCCCAAACGCAAAACATTAACTTGTAAAATTAAGGAAAAAATGGAAGAGGCTTGCAGAAAGAGGTTGTGAGACTAATAGACAAGAATCAACAATGATCCCATTAACAGCAGCACCAGTGAGGCCTGGAGAAAGGTAACTACATATTATGTGAAGTACACTAGCTATCTCTGGGAATTGTAAGAAGTGAAATTTCAAGGCAAAAGACATAATGGTAACACAATTATATGTAGAATATATAGGAAGCAAAAACTATAAGGTAGAAAGCTAGAACAGCGCAATGAAAATGGAATTCTCCTTTGTCTCCCTAGGTAATAAAAATTAAGAAAGAAAGTCTGAAAGAGATGGGCACCCGATACACTGTAAGTAAAGTCTTTTTGTGAAAGAGTAAAAGGAATATTTATTTCTCTGATCATGGCTTCTTAATGAACTGAGGACATAAGAGCTGTACGGCCATTCTTGCTAGTCCTTAAAGTGCAATTAGAAGTTTTAGAAGTGACATACCTTTTGTGTAGCACTGAAAATCACTTCCCCATTTTTATAAAAGACGTCACATGCAGTGTAGAAGAGAATGTGTAGAAGTGAATACCATCTAAAACCCAGAGACAAACTGCTCAAATCCAATGTATAATACTGAGCAATTGAACCATATATTTGACAAACACATTAAAAGAACAAAGGAACATAGAGGTACTTAAAAGTACATCAGTTAAAAAGCCTACTCCCTAGAACCTGTGCAACATAATATTAAGAGATACTTGGCTACTATAATGAGATCACAACAAGGATGGAAAAGAAGAAAATATTTTTGGTTTTTTATGAAAAAAATAATAGAATTGAACAGTAAGTGAAATCTAAACTTATCAGACATCCCTAAAATGAAAGTTAAAAAATGCAATTGCTTAAAGCTACACTTTAGTAATAATGTATTTTAAAGTGAAATTAGATGTGAAATGCTTGAGGCCTTGGTATTTTGATTCCACACACTTGTGCCAGAGACAAGGAAAAAATACCTAATTCTTATAGGTAACAAACGGTCATCATTATAGAATCATAGAATATCCTGAGTTTGAAGGGATCTGCAAAAATCATTGAAGTCCAACTCTTAGCACTGCACAGGACCATGTGGCAAAAAACTAACAGTTTTTGGTTCAGTAATGATTAGTAGCTAGTCCCAGTTAGTAAGAATTAAACTGTTTAAAATAAAATTTAAAAGAATTAAATTAATACCTTTACAGTCTTGACAAACCAATAGCGAAGGTACAAAGATGCAAGAGATACAAAATAGAAAATGCAACTAATCTTCACTGTCAATCAAGAAGCGCAAGCAATAAATGTAGTCATTTAACTCTGAATCCTAAAGATTTTTTTTCAGTGTCATTTATATAAATAAACTAATGACAAAGGTTGTTGATGGTCATTTCTTCATGCTTGCATACAAAAATATAACTGCAATGTTAAAGAAACAAAAGAGAGGAAAAACTTGAGTAAGCATTCAGTGTACCAGAATACTTCATAAACAGCAACACAGGACTCATGTGAGGCCTGGAAAAACTGTTCTTCTGTTGTGATATTTGGGAAATTCAGATTTAAAATCAAGTGTCCAACCTGCTGTCAAATTTTAGATGTCTGCAGCTAGGTGGTTTTGGCTTTTCTTTCCAAAGGAATACATATGGTACCTATGCTTTATTGCAATGGTGAGTTCAATGGTCATTGCACCCATTGATCTAAGCTGCAGTGACAAAAACTTAGCAGTTGTGACAGTTTTGCTTTCAGGAAAGTTTTTTCCTGATTCCATTTGAATCAGGATGTGTGCCTTCTAGTCTCAAATTATAGAAAAAAGGAATAAAAGTGTTCTAAAAAGCTACTTTTATTCACTACAAAGCATTGACAGATTTCTTGTGCACCATCCATTCAGTGCACTGCATGACACAGGAATAGTCAAAAGTCATCTCTCAAACACAAAAAGGACCAAAATAAAGCGTGGAACACCAAAACAAAATCTGACGAACAATCACCATCTTGGCATTTCTACATTTCTAAATTCTAAACTGAGTGCTTGAGATACAAGCTGAATATTATTTTGAGCTCTTCGTATTGCTTTGTAATTTTAAAAAAACAAACCCTGACTCTCATAATGAAGAGTCTGCACCCACTTGATCAGTGGGGCAGGAATCCCTTCACTAACGGGGCAGAAATCCCGGTACGTGGTCCGATTATCTGGCTGTAGCAGTATCTGGTCACTCGCCCTGAAGACCAACCATTATGAGGCACGAGGCACTTCGAAAGTTTCTCAGAGATACTGAGAAAATGGTATTGAGGGTCAGAAATCCCTGGCCCCTTTCCTGACTTTCATAGTCAGTCTGTTCCAGAAGAAACACTTCAGCTTGCATCTACATAGAATTCCACCTGGTTCATCTGTCAGCTTCCTCTACTCTGTGAGGTCTCTTCCGTCATCCAGCACACCCCTATCAGACCGCCTTCCACAATTTTAATTCCGCCGAGCAACAGACGTGGTGATTTTCAGACTCCGAGGCAGCGCCGACGCGTTTCCCAGCTCGCCCTCCGCCACTCGCCCCCAGTCTGTCCCCGCCTCCCCCAGCCCTGGGGGGACCCGCTCCTCTCGGTCTGAGGGCAGACCGCCCCATCCCGCTCCGCGCTGAGGTGCAAAGCCGGGCCCCGCAGCGGCGCCGCCAGGGCCGCCTCAGAGGGACACCAGCGCCGCCTTCCCGCAGCAGGGGCGGGCACCCACCGGCGCCTCGGCTGCCGAGGAGCCTGGGAACTGCGCAGCGCCCGGCCAGGCCGCGGAGGAGAGAAGGCGCGGGCGGGGAACCCCGGAGCTTTGCGGGGCGGCCACAGCGGGATCCCAGCCCTGTCCCGCTCGGGTCGCACGGTAGGGCAGGGGAAGGGCAGCCCGCGGAGCCACTTACCGAGCGGCTCCGCGCCGACAGCCCGGCGACAGCGGAGCGTCCGTGACAACGTCCCGGAACGGCGCTCCGCACATCGGGGGCGGGGCGGGAAGGCGGATTCGCGCCGGGGGTTTGAACGAGGGGCGCAGCGTCCAGCGGGGACGGGCCGGATCGAGGAGCCGTAGGGCTCCAGCACAGCCCCTGTTCCCCACGCATGGCCTGTGTAGGTGATCGCCGGGGGCTCCCCCGCCGCAGCGATGGGGGCTCGCTCCTCAGATCTTGTCCGGGAGCGTCGCCAGCCCGCCGCACCTCGGTGGCGGTTTCGTGAGACAGGGGGCGGCGGGTTTCCCCCCCGGCGGGCGGTAAAGAACCTCCCCGCACCTGCGGGGTCCGCGCAGCAGCGGAGCAAGGGTTTGAAAGGCGGAGCCTACGGGCGTCCTGGTGCAGAGCCGAGATGCCAGACCCGGGGGGCTCGGCCCATTGCAGGCCGCAGTTTGGGCGTCTCAGGACTACCGCGTTACCGCCTTTGAGATATCTTAACAGTGTCAGGCAGGGAGAGCTTAAAATGTGGTATACCGCCTCAGGCAGCTTTCTTTTTTCTCGGTGTGTTTTCCCATTTCAATGGAAGAGAAGTAGGAACTGCTAGTCAGACTTTGCAAGCAACTTTTCGTGGTGTATATTCTGTGTGTTAATGTTTCCTTTTCGTTCTTCTTTCTTTCAACAGATGGGAAGTGGCAGCCAGAAAAGGATAATCCAAATAACTGGATTTAAAGAAAAAGAGAAAAAGACCCTGCTCAAATGTCTGCTTAAACTGAACTGTGTTTTTATAGATAGCAAGGTATTGTTCACCAAAGCACAGAAAAGAGGGTTAGAGCAGAAAGTAGAAATGCAAGCCTTAAAAGAAATGAGTGTGCTGTAGTTTAGTTGTGTATAAATAGCCAAGGAATTTAAACTGTTTCCAGTGATACAAGTGTGTTATTTTGTTTTTGTTTTGTTAGAAATACAGAAATTGTACACATCTTGTAGCAAAAAAGCTGTGCAAGAGTGAAAAGATCTTAGCGGCCTGTGCTGCTGGTGAGTAAAAGGTTTCCTGTTAAATTTCATAGCATCACAACTGGGTCTGGAAAGGAGACTTAAAAGGGTTATCTGTTTTCATTTTGTGAGTGAACTGTCTTACAAACACTCATTCTTCTTCCATTAACCTCGATTTTTAATGTAGTATTATGTTCAAGTTATGATTTACTTCTTTTTGTTTAGATTTTTTTCCTAAATTGTATTCCTGCTCTCTCCCTTTGTTGGATCTGCACCTGTTACCAAACAGAAAATGTTGTTGTATATTAGATCCTGCAGTCATAAGCAAATTACATGGACACTTAAAAATGAATTGCTTAAAAGGAGGCAGAGACAATATGGACACCCATAGTTGGAGTGGGTTTTTGACACCAAATTCATATGCAACATTCACTGGTAAAGCTCAGTCTCTAATTTCCTGTTAATGCAGCAAGAAAAAATTCCAGACTTCTGCCATTCTGACACAAGCCTCTGGTCTTTCCTCTTGCTTCCTGTTTAACTGTGGCCTGATGCTGCAGTCCCATACATAAGCAACTCAAATGCTTTCGGAATGAGAATTCTGTATTTTAAGATTTCATTATACACTGATTACAGGTAAGGATTCTATGATGAGTTTACACTATCTTGTAGTTATGAGATATCACAATACCAGTTTTAGCATGATCTGTATTTTCCCTATTTAATACTATAACAAAGTGGTAAAGCAATTTTTAGAATGGCTAATCTTAAATTAAGAGATAATAGACAGAAATAACTAAACATGTATTTGGATTTAAAGATATATATAAATTTCTTGATTTCATGCTTGTATGCAGGGGTGTGTATATATATATATATATATGGATGATTCCTTGTACTAATGTAAAATTCTCATCTCACTCTTATCAAAAAGGAAATAACTAAAAGTTTCCATGAGGGAAACAATATTAAAATGCCTATAAATTTCTGGCATAGCACTTTGTTTTAACAATTCTAAACCTTTGAGTTAATGTTTTCTTACTTTTTGGAATTTAAAACATGTGGAGATGTTTTCTTGAACGGAGTGGAAGTGGTATATGTAATGTCCACATGGCAATACAAAACTCTATCATGCTTCTCTACTTAGAAATCTTCCACAATAACATCTAGCAGTTTTTAATCTTGAAGAGGTGCCATTTTTGCATAATCATTGGTCTTACTCTTGATGTCAGAGACAGTGTATTCATTCCTACTGCAAGTAATGAAGAAAGATAATGTTTAAACACATTTAGAACACTGTAGGGTTGAACAGTAATACTAAAGGATGCCAGTTGTTGTGCTGACAGAAGTTTTGACATGGAAATTTCAAGTAGAAATGGTTTTAACATGCAGGTTGTGCACAACATACCTTTTCCAGTCATAAGTCTACTGGTACCTATGCTAGGTTTTGTAAAAGTACCATCTGTGCTCCGGCACTGAGACATTTTGCCAGTCAACCCTGCTGTTCTGTGAAACCAATTAGGTTCTCGCAATTCAAGTCAATTTCTCTTACAGTGTCTTCTGTAGGTAGTGTTTCAATACAAGAGCAGGATACTAACCGCTGCTCTTGACCTGAACCTGTAAGAAGAGAGAGACAGAGAAAAGGGGAAGATCATTACATACTGTATCAAAAGCATACATGCAGAAGATGAAAGAGGAGAGGCGGAGGAGGTGGAGCCAAGGGATGAGAGAAAAGGATGTGAAAAGAAGAAAGGGAAAAGAAAAAAGTCTAAAACTGTGTTCCCCAAATATTGATATTCACTACACTAGCAGTGCAAGTAATTTTGAGAATATATGTGAGAAAGAGCTTACATGCTAAAAGTTTATTTCTTCTTTTAAATCATTGGTAGTAAAATATTTCTTCATTTTAGTATATCTGTGTAAGTGTCAAATGGTATTAAAAATAAAGTGTTTGCCAAGGTTCTGTGGAATTCATAAGAACAAAATCTGGGAAGCTGAAAAGATGTATTTGGAGATTTTTGAGGAGATAGACAATTATTTTATCTAGGAAGGGTAAAAAGGCACTTCATTGGTAAAAGAAAACAGAATGATCATTTTCAGTGGCATTGTGAGACTTTTGATTCTAAAGTCTGAAGTGGAGAACTCTTGTAACAGGAAGAAGTTTTTAAAATGGTACTCATAATTTCAGCTTTTATTTGCACAAGAAAGGTTTAAGTTAATTTTATATTAGTTCTTCAGCTGATTGCTATTTGTCTGCACAAAAAAAATCTCTTGTGGTTGACAGTTCATTTGCTTTTTAGGAAAGTGGGTACTAACTAAGGAGTACATAATTAATAGTGCTGAAAGTGGCAGATGGCTTGATGAAACAACGTACGAATGGGGATATGAAATTGAAAAAGACACCCATTATTCACCTCAAATGCAATCTGCACCTAAAAGATGGCGCGAAGAACTGACTTTCTCTAGTGCTCCAGGGGCCTTCCACAGATGGAAAGTTGTCCTTCCTGTTAAGGAAGGTGATAAACGAATGGCATCTATTAGAAGGTAGGAGTGTATGTCTTAAAGCTTAAGTAATGCACAATAGAGCACTTATTGTATGGTTGAACATATTTTTGTTCTTCCATCCCAGTTAATTTGGCCCATAATAACCTCAGCTCTCCAAACTCTGAATTATTTTCATTAATATATTTCCATATATTTAAATCTGTAACATCACTGCTTTTCTTGCTTTCTTTTAGTATAGTGTCAAAAATAATGTGCATTTGTGTATGTTTTTATCAAGTAAGCTGCTAAGAGAAACTTCTTCATGAGGCAAGAAATATAGACTTACAGTTTTTATGAGTGTTTATTTTGTGTGGGTGTTAGATTCAAATAGTAGCTGGAATAGGACACCTTATTTCACTCAGCTGGGTGACCCAAGATCATGTCTTAAGCATCTGGGCCACACTGTTACTGACCTGATCAATCTTTGTGTCACATCTGTGTAACAGCTTCTTGTAGTTCTGAAGATCTAATTTGTGCTTATCAGATGTTTCTGATATGTTGTAAATACATATAGTTTGGAAGGGAAGGACAAAATGAAAAGCAGAGGAAAGGGAAACGATTGAAGTGCGAGAATTCTAGGGCTGTGTTTTTCTTTTCCATACTCTTCTTACACATTTGGATTCATTCATTTAAATACCGCACAGAAGTACAAGTAGAGCATATTTAAGTAATATTTATATCTGGTGCAGTAAAAGAAATGTCTCCTGACACTGTTTTAGAGCTTTCCATTCAATCAAAAACTGTCCTGCTCTCTCTTGACATCCCAGTTAGTTAGGAATGCTCAGGTCTAGGCATGCCACAGATGCACAGGCAAAAAGGGAAGTGCAGTTTGGTGAATCATAGTACAGGGCTGTATGCTACGTCACAGGTGCCTGTCTCTTTCTAGTTCATAGAGACGAAGTGAGGTGTAGCTGAAGTTACCATCTTTTGATTTTGCCAACGGAATGCATTCTAAGTGTGCTATTTTCCTGGCTGAGTGGAAGAGTTTATTATGTCCTGCCACGCTTGTGAAAAATGCTGCTTCTTTTTCCATAAAAACTGCTTATGCAGATCTTCACGATAACACTGTTGAAATGGTGTCTTGCGCAACCGTCTGTTTGCAATAGAAATAACCTTTTATGGGAACTACATCAGCAAGAGAGGTGAACAAGCAGTTTTGTGGAAGATGCCTTTTTTTTCCAGACTGTTTCCCATACACTCAACATGGGAATCCTTTTACTCAGTCAGGAAAAACTGACAGGTGGATGTTTTTTGTCTTCAGCAAATACTCTTTTCAGTCATAAAGGCCACTATAGCTTTGGAGAAAGACCAATTTTTCTCTAATATTTAACAATACTGTGCCTTTTTTCCTCTTTCTATGCTCTTCTTGCTTTTAGTGCCTAGCTGTTGGATGGGTAAGTGTGTGAGATCAGCAGCCTTTTCTTTTTACATACCTGGATTATAAAAAATGAAACATATATCCAGAATGTCACAAGACCTTATTTTTTCCAGCATTTTTTTTTGTCTGGCATCTTTTCT